GCCCAGAACAAACTGCTTGAACTGTTGAAGCGCTTTTTCGATTCTCGCAGTTTAGAGACTTCAAATATGTAGTCCTCGAGCTGCTGCTCTGGGATGACTTTCCAATGATTCTTCGACTTGCATCCACAGCCTCTCTCAATCCCATCGCGTATGTCCAAGGAGACCACGCTTCACCTGCTCCGTCGTCGGTGGCTCAGGTGCGGGGGTATCTGGTTCGTCATCCGATTCCGAGTAGTCGGTGTCACTCTCCGCGTTTGAAATTTCCGAGCTGTCGGGGCTTGGCGTTTTCGACACAACACTAGCAGCACTCGAGCTTGCTGTGACTCCATACGTCTTCTTCTTAGGTGGCATATCATCGCCGTCGCTGTCAGCATCGGTGTCGGAATCGCTCGCGGACGACTCGCGGGTGCCAGCGCTGAATCCGTAAAAATTCTCGTCGTCCGATTCAAGCGCCTTCGCATCAGGGACTAGTCGACTCCACACAGAATCGAGTTGCGTCGTCTACTAGATGTTGTAGCCATAATCAATCACAGTAAGTGGAGCCTCATGAGTTACTCGACAATCGCTCGAGCTCGGAATCCTTCCCCGACCACCTAACAAGACGAGAGACGGAGAAGCTCTTGAGTCTTGTCAAAACAAAAGTGACGAGTTCTGCGCTTCGCGTAACTACTTTGAGTCGCGTGACTTTGAAACGTCATAACTTGATTTTGATATCAAACGTCGTAGGGCGGTTTCTATAGTCCCTGGCTCATTTATTTATGGCTCAACATCCGAGTTTCAAATAACCATTTTCTTCAGTATTTTGGCAGAAGGCTTCCTTGTGCTTGGCCCAGCAGGCCAAAAATCACACCTCGGAGGAGTGTAACAATTACAACTCTCAGATGTCCTCGATTGCTGGACATGCTTCTCGGAGAAGAAAATCATGATTCTTAGGAGTTGATATCTGGTCAGTTGTTCAATGTTTTTCACTTTCGTTTTATGTTGTTGTGCAACTGTTTGTATTGTTGGCATGATCCACTGGTTTGATGCCTATCATTCCGATTGTGCCCATAGTTGATAGTTCAGAGCATTTTTCTTCCATCCTTAGACCTAAGTCAATCTCTGCAGAAAAACCTCAAACCTTATCCGTAATTCCGGATCTGTGAGATGTCATATGATTGCTGGTGATGGGTCTGAGCCAAAACTGTTTCAATGCATTGAACACACATATCCGCAACGTGGCATATAAAAGGCGAGAAATGATTTCTCGCGAAACATTTTCAGTTGCAAATATGGCATCTGGTGTGTTCTTTATTGTCGCTTCTTTTCCTGACTTCTTCAGTCAGTTGTGAGTCTCACCAGTGTCCCTGCCCTCCCACCCTTTTTTTCTGTGCATATTTTCATTGCTTTTTTATCACTTTTTGCCGTGATGTGCTTGCCATGCCTACATGGTGCCTAAAGCCTAGTTCACATTCGACGGGACGCGACGTAAGGATCGACGGGAAGCGACGGGACGGTCTGACGGCGTCCAATGTGAACACCAGGCACGGGAACGCAACCGTACTACCGTACAGATCGGGAAGCGACGGGAAGAGTTGGATCGATCCAACTTTTCATACCGTAGACGGGCGTAGACGGGGACGCAAGCGTACAAAACGGCTGCAATTCGAGTGTGAACAGGAGACGGCGTTGTGCGCCGGCTACTCCCGATTCGTACTTGGAAATTATTAGCATTTCGAACACTGCGCTTCCCATGATAACTCACAGAATGGCTAGCACGACTTGAGTTGATTTTTAGCAACATAAGATCTCATGTCACTTATTGTATTGAGGGATAGTTCAGAAGCATGACAGACAAATTATTCTATCATTTCCTGGGGCTATTATTTGAATGCCACAACTTTCAGGGCTAATTTTTTGGTCTTCATGAAAAACTGGTATTATGAACTTGATTCCGCTTCTTTCAAGGAGAAATAATTGAGAAGAAGTCCCGAAAAACGAGAAATTAGGTCCGAAAGTCACCCCGTCACGGACCGTGCCTTATGAATCGCGCCGTTCGCCGTTGAACGTCGCAACGACTGCTGCATGTCGTGTCGTACGAATCGTACAGGATTTTACAGCTCACCCCAGCCCTTCCGACAAGCCCTTACGTCCCGTACCGTCGGCGTTGCGTCGAATGTGAACTAGGCTTTATCGCCATTGGGGTTACATCTATACACCCGGTTTTTTCACTCACAACCGCGTCCGTCGGCGCGAGGGTTTTTTCCCGGCTGGCTCGGTCCAGGAAAATTAATCTGACGGTCCCAAGTGGTTCTGCATCATGGCCTATTTCTGCTATCCACTGGCGCGCCTATTCTATCTGAGACACTCTGTTCTCAGCCGTTGCTTCCATACCTCACTCGCTATCCGGTTCACATCTGGCTGCGACCAACTACTGTAAAAGCCATATATATATAATGAAGTGCTAACTCTAACGAGTTAACGAGGGGAAATCTGTCGTTAAAATAGAAATCGTTATACAGAAATCGATACATACACTGTCTTATTGGGCGTTGAGAATGAGTGAGAATCGTTATCTTTGGTGCACGTAAACCAGTCAATTTTGGGAAATTGTTATATATGTAGGACTCAGTATAGAGTCCATGCACTATATGATGTCCACCACCCTATATGGAGTCCATTGGTCCAAAATCCACTATACAGAGTCCAGGAGTCCACTCAGTTTTGATCAGCTTCATCCTGCCGCGCAATCCCCTATAAGGAGTACACTTTTTCTACAAGTCCCCTATTCACGGTCCAGGAGTCCAGTTTATCCAGTCACGCCGTTCTGTGTGTTGTGCCCGAAAGAGAACAGACACCTTTTCAGTTTTGCTTACCTCATGGCAGCGCATTCCTTTCTTCACTTCAGCCATGGCTGCCAGTAATCTGTCTCGAGGTAACCAAGGAGGATAAGGAGACGTTCAAAATCAAATCTGGAAAGCGTCTTGTGGTTCTCTGAAGACGTTTCAACAGTGCGCGGGATGAAAGCAGAAATTACAGAACGAGAAAAGTTCAGCACAGTTCAAATCTGACGAGTCAGGTACACTGACACTCTCTTTCGTTCGACGCCACAAGGATCCCCCTGTTTGGCTGGCCATTGCTGCCAGTAAGGCGTTTGAACGGTTTCATCAGAGCGAGGGATGAAAGCAGAAAGCGGAGAACGAGAAAAGTTCAGCACAGTTCCAATCTGACGAGTCAGATACACTGACACTCTCTTTCGTTCGACGCCACAAGGATACCCTGTTTGACTGGACAAGAGCTGCTTGTACCACCGTGTCAAAAGGCTGTCCAACTACATGGCAGGACGATGACTGAGGTAAGGAAGCTTTTACTCGTTTCGATTGGTCTGCTGTTCTGTCGTTATGCTTGAATTTTTCCATTTTCAAGGATCGTATCGCGTTTGTTTGATGTTGCTTGAATGAATGCCCTAAAAGTAATCAACCACTTCGTAATAGTCCTCAAGGACTGCATGTGAGATATTGCATATGATCGCCAGACAGCCTCGTTCTCTCGCTCTCTCTCTCACTATCTCTCTCTCTCTTTTGATCTTCCTTTCTCCATTCTTGATTATCACCAACTCCTCTCTCGCATTTACCTGAGCTTACAGTCTTCTCCTTGTATCTTCGTGTTTTCCCGCACTATCTCCTTTCGCTGTTGGAAAGCGTACGGTAGCTTGAGTTGCTGGCGGTTTGCTTCACTGTCTTTTGTTCTTTGAGTTTTCTCCTTCGAGACAAGAGAGACATATTTTCCTTACAATGAATCTTCGAGACTGATTCCAGAAATTGCAAATTGGTCCTTTCGTTTATTTTGGTTTGTTTTGCGTTCTGCTTTGACTCGTATTTGACTGGTTTGGTTGCATGTATAGTTTGTACATGATCCAAGTAACGGCTACGTCATTGTCATACGTTGTGTTTTGTTGCGCGCATGCTCGTATGCTGCCATAAATGTTAGTCTTTTTCTTCAGTTTTCAGTTTTACCTCGTCGTGTCCGGTCTTCTTGTCTGTCCGTCTCCGTCTTGTCAAGGAATGATGTAGAACTCTCAGTTCAGTTTCGTTGTTGTGTGTGGCGGGTCGGATGAGCAGGGAGGCTGGGCCCCTGACGCCTGGACAACATGTGCGCGTGCACAAAATTTGGCGATCACGCCAGGATAGTCAGGGAGACGAGGAACTGGCAGGAACTCCGGTGCGAAGGAAAACGCATCGAGAACAAATCACCAAAACGACATCGTCTGAGCTGAAGGCGCTGAGCGAGGAAACGTCTGCGAGGAGTGGCTGGCTCGTCGGAGCTGAATGCGCTGAGGGCAGATGAAATGGATGAACATCTGCGAGGAGTGGCTGGTCCGCCGGAGTTGAATGTGCTGAGGGCAGGGACGTCCCGTGAGGTGGCTGGTGAAGACGACGAGGTTGGTACGGCGGAAGTCGTTGGAGCTGAATGCGCTGAGGGCAGACGAAGACGGATAAACTTCTGCGAGGAGTGGCTGGTTCCTACGACAAGGACGGTGCGAAGGAAAACGCATCGTGAACAAATAACCCCATGTGAGTGTGACGCGGAGTTTGGAAGGTGCTCCTGCTGTGATTTGTTGATTAGTTTGATTCGATTTGTTTGAGTGGTTTGGTTTGCTCGATTTGTTTGTTAGTTCGAGTTTGGTAGTTCGGTTTGCTCGAGTTGTTGATTAGTTTGTTTTGCTCGAGTTGTTTGTTAGTTCGAGTTTGGTAGTTCGGTTTGCTCGATTTGTTTGAGTTTGATTTGTTTGTCCCTGGTCGGACGTTGACTTTCGTTGGAGTTTTATTGGCGTGTCGATCGTTTATTTGTTGCCTCTTGTAGTTAGTTTGATTAGTACGCTTGCGGCGTATACTCGTAGGGCACAGTGTTCGCAGTCCTCGTAGAACCCTGAAAAGGTCTTTGGTGGGGAATATGTTGTGTATCGGTAGAAAGACTTTTCATGGCTCATTTTTGTTGTGGTCCTTCGAGCCTCTCAGACGATGGCTGACGTAGTGAAGCGGAAGATCGCCAAAGCGAAGGCGAAGGCAACCTTCACGAACCTTCGCCGCGGACTACTCGTCGCCATCGACGAACCAGACGTAGACAAAGACAAGATCAAGTACAATCTTGTTTTACTTGAGAACGGCCTGAACGCCGTGATGGAGATTATCACCGAGTTATCCAGCGCATGTAGTACCAGTCAGGACAGTGTGTTTCTTGATGGTCTTTGCAAGGATGCTGATGATCTGGAAAACCAGTATACAGATGCTGTTACTCGTGCGAGTACAGTTTTGGCTAGCATGAGCCGTTACAATAGTACGTGCACCAGCGAGGCGACGGGTGTGCGGTACTCACGCAACCCTGATCGAGTACGAGAGTATTTGGAGTCTGTGTCTGCGGCAAGGACAGTGCGAGCTGCACAGGATCAGTTACAACAGGAATCCACACACGTAGAATCTACACGTAGCACCACAGGTAGTGCGAATGTCAGTGTGTCTTTGGGTGCACCTACACAGGCCACAGCTGCTCTGTCCAGTGCAAGTACCGGTAGACCTACGCAGGGCCAGGCCGTCCCGTCGTATGAGTACCATGTCCATGAGTACAGCGTTGACCAAGGTCCGCCCGACATACATGTCAACGGGGACCCGGTATACCCACATGCGGCGCTCACTGATGACCTCGAGGTCAAGCCTCCACGTGGGCTGATGGCCACAGCTACAGAGCTAGAGAGCCTCTCAAATCCGAGGTCAACATCGCCGGCTCAGCCGCCGTGCACGGAGTTTTCGAACTCCCCGACGCAGCAGTCGTACGCAGAGTTTTTGAACTCTCTTGCTTCGCAGCAGCCGCCGTCCACGGAGTTTTCGAACTCTCGGCCGCACGCGCAGCCATCGTACACGGCGTCGTCGAGCTCTCCGGCTTCGCAGCAGCCGCTGTACACAGAGCGCTCGAGCTCCGTGCCGCAGCCGGCCCACTCAGCGCCACGACAGTCGTCAACACAGGTCAGGCAGCAGCCGCTGTACACAGCGTTGTCAAGTACACGTAGTTCGGTGCAGCAGCCGTCCTACTCTGCGCCACAGCAGTCGTCAACGCAGGTGCAGCAGCCTCTGTACACAGCGTTTTCCAGTAGTTCTCTGCAGCAGCCGTCGCACTCGGTGCCACGACAATCGTCGACGCAGGCCACACAGCAGCAGCTGTCCACAGTGTTTTCAAGTTCCGTACAGCAGCCGCCGCACGCAGCGCCGCAGCAGCCGCTGTACACAGCGTTTTTAAGTTCCGCACAGCAACCGCTGCAGCTGCCGCCGCACGCAGCGCCGCAGCAGCCGCCGCACGCAGCGCCGCAGCAGCCACTGTACACAGCGTTTTTAAGTTCCGCACAGCAACCGCTGCAGCTGCCGCCGCACGCAGCGCCGCAGCAGCCGCCGCAGCAGCCGCCGCACGCAGCGCCACAGCAGCCGTCGCACGCAGCGCCACAGCAACCGTCGTACGCATTGTCGACGCCAGACCAGACTCGGAGCGGCTTCCGACCATACAGCCAAAACCCGACGCTGTCAGCGCGTTTACCCGTTACGCCGCAATTGTCGCCACCTGCACTGACTCCCTCACCTGACAGTTCCTCAGGTCAAAGTCCACACAGCGCGGCACCATCTGATGTCTATCGCCATTTGAAGAAGATCACCATCCCAACTTTCAGTGGCGACAAGAAGGCGTACGACACCTGGCGTACGGCATTCATGGTGTGCGTGGATCAGCAGCCAATATCAGCCGAGTTGAAGCTCCTTCAACTCCACCAGTGCCTCACGGGCCCGCCGCTGAAGAGTATTGAGGCATTTGGCTACTCAGCGTCCGCGTACTCAGCCGCGATAAGTCGCCTGGAACACAAGTACGGTGGCCTTCGTCGCAAGACGGCCGTCCACATGACCGCACTCTCGCAGTTTACGCCCATTCGGGATCGGGGCACTGCCGCAGAGTTTGAGCGCTTTGCTGACTTGCTGCAAGTCGCAATCATCAACCTGCAGGATGTTGGGCGACATGGCGAATTGGCCGCAGGGACATTCTGCACCAAAGTGCAGCAGAAATTGGGCCCGGAGCTGCTGACCAACTATAACAGATGGCGATGTGACACAGGGGCTGAAGAGTCCGTACCCCACCTACTGCAGTGGGTGCTGCGCGAAGCAGACTTCCGCACGGAGGCGGATGAGACGCTGCACAGCATCGCCAACACGACACTGGGCTCCCGGTCACCGCCATCCGCCAAGCCTTCCAGGTTTGGACCAGCTACGGCGTCTGCGTTAGCAGTGTTGTCCACCAACCCTTGTGCTTACTGCTCTCAGGATCACGCTGCCGCACAGTGCTCCGTTATTACTTCACTCGCGAGAAGGAAGGAAATAGTGAAACAGGACGGGCGTTGCTTCGTGTGCCTCAAGCAGCATCACATGGCCCGCAACTGCCAGTCAACGTTAAAGTGCGCCAAGTGCAGCCGGCGACATCATGTCAGCATCTGCGATGGCACGCTAGCGCTTGCTGGCAAGGACAAGTTGTTTGGCACGGCCACCAGGTCCGGTCAGCGACGTGCGTCGCCAGCCAAGGACCTCTCGACTGATGCGGGCACATCCGCAGCTGTGGGCACGGTCGGCAATGGTGGAGCCGTGCTGCTCCAGACGGCTAACGCTACAGTCTGCTCCCCAGCAGACCCGACCCGCACCGCCACGGCCAAAGTCGTTATGGATGGCGGCTGGTGTTTCGCTAGGCTTCTGCCGCACGCAGTCCCGTAATGGGCCGTATACCAAGCTCACACTCGACGGAGTCACTCACAACACGAAAGACTTTATGGTTGATTAGAAGTAGAACGCCATGTCACGAACCGACTATTTCGTTCTAAGAAAACTACAAGTGCAAAGAAAAACTCTCTGGAAACCAAAAGGCAGCGCAGCCAAACAAAGGTACAGCTAAAAACCTCATGCCGCACGCACAAGAACACAACAACCAAAAAGGCTACACGGTGCCAAGGCTGGCTCAGCGAAACCGACCGCAGCGGAACCTAAATGGTAGCCCGCTGTACAAATTCGATATTACATCAGGCATCAAGGTGCCCCCAAGGGGAGCACATGAAGACAGTAAGATGCCAGGAGATAAAGGTCAAATCACAGAGAACAGACAGCATGACCGCAATGGCAATCAGGAAGAGAAAGCAGATCGCAACTGAACATGACATGAACGTGTAGACTGAACTCCGTGGCATTCTCGCCACGCCATTCTCCCCTTCCTGATGTGTCTACGGAGAGATACATCACCAACACTCGAAGCGGAAAAATGAAAGAAAAACAGAAAAGATTGCCTGAGTTGCTAGTGCTCAAGCAAACAGAAACAAAAAAAACAAAAATTCAAAAAAAGATGATAGGCAACGGAACAAGAAATGAAAACAACATGAAAGAACATGTGCGAAGCAAGAGAGAAGCAAGAGAGTGAAAATACATGACCATACTTCAATGGCGATGGTCCAATGCTGTTGCTACTCAGTAACTCACTGATATGCTTCCAGCGGGCAGATCTTGCTTATTGGGCGACGTAGCGTGGTGTTCTTCACCTTTACATCCACGACTCGTACCAGCCCGTCACGTCCTGGGTGAACATCGACAACTCGTCCCAGCTGCCACTGACCACGTGGTGTGTCTTTGGCGAGTAGGATAACGACATCACCGACTTGCACGTTGTTGTAGGGTTTCTTCCATTTGGCACGACCACTCAGCATGGGCAGCCATTCTTGCATCCATCTTGCCCAGAAATGTCTGACCAGCTCCTGGACTCGTCTCCAGCGTCTCCTCAGGCTAGCTGCTGGGTCATCACCGGGTACATCAATACTGTGGCTCGCGTCGCCTAGCAGCAAGTCACTTGGAGAGATAGGAGTACAGTCTCTGGCATCTGAAGATACCGTTGTCAAGGGCCGACTGTTGATCAGGTGTTCTGCTCCAATCGTTGCCGTCACTAACTCCTCATCTGTGATGTCACCTGACTTCAGAATGGCGTACAGTGCTCGTTTGGCAGCCTTCACCATGACCTCAAATGGTCCTCCGAAGTGCGGTGCTGCGGGTGGGTTGAAGTGCCACTGAATCCGTTGACCGTTGGTTGCCTTGATGATCTTCTTCTCGTCCAGTTCACTTCTCAACTCGCGTAGCTCGGTTACTGCACCAACAAAGTTCGTGCCATTGTCAGTGAGCACCTCGTGTGGGGCGCCACGTCGTCCGACCATTCGGAAGAAGCAGTTCAGAAAGCTTCCAGTATCAAGACCATACGCTACTTCGATGTGGATAGCGCGTGTGGCAAGACAGGTGAAGATGCACAGCCATCTCTTTGCCTGCGCTCGGCGTCCCTGCTTGGTGTACATCGGTCCTGCAAAGTCGATTCCAACCCTTTCAAACGCACGGGTGCCGGGTTCAATCCGGAGTGTTGGCAGTGGCGCCATGAGCTGCTTAGCAGGCTTGGCCTTTCGGCGTTGGCATTCAGGACATTGACGATCCACTTCCTTGACTGCTTCGCGTGCACCGACAACCCAGAACCGCTTTACTAACTCGTTCAGAACTTGATTGTTGCCGAGTGCGTGATGACCGTTGCCATGGATCCGCGTGATCACAAGCTTAGTCGTTGGATGCGTCCTGGGAAGGATGATCGGTGAGATCGTGTCAGAGGGCAAGAAGTCCGCGTACTGAAGACGACTCCTTGCACGCAGCAAACCACTGTCATCTAACTGTGGATGGAGTGCTGCAATCTTGCTCTGGGAACTCACAGGTTGTCCCTTCTTGATGGCCTTGATCTCATCTCGGAACTCAGACTCTTGCGCTGATTTCACCAGCATCAACTCAGACTCACTCAATTCGTCCACTGTCAATTCACCCAGTTCGCGGCGTTCGTGTGGCACGCGAGCGTTGTGAAGAAATCTCATCACCCACGCTTGCACACGAATCAAGCGCTCCAAATCAGAGTATCGCTGCGGTTCCAGTCGCCAAACACTGGGCTCCGTTGCGCCTGTGCCCTCATCATCAGTACCCGTCTCAGTGCTGCTCATCAGAACGGTCTCCTTCATGGACTTTGTTTCCTTTGCTTGGGCTGTAGGTAACTGTCGTACTGGCCAGTCATCAGGCGGCTTGGCCATGAAGCTAGGACCGGTCCACCACATACTGTCCGGCGTGAGCGATGTTGGGGCGCATCCTCTCGACACAATATCAGCCGGGTTCTCTGCCGTAGGGACATAACGCCATTGATCTGGGCTGCTTGCCTGGTGAATCGTGCTCACTCTGTTGGCAACGAACGTCTTGAACAAGCGACTCCGGCCACGGATCCACCAGATCACGTCCATACTGTCAGTCCAGTAGATGATGTTCTGCGGGTTGATCTGCAACACCTTGGCTACTTCGTTGGCCATTTCGACTCCCAGCACAGCAGCCATCAATTCGAGCCGTGGGATGCTTGTGGCGGTAGTTGGCGAAACTCGTGACTTAGCAGACACAAATACGGTGCTGATCTCGCCGGAGGCGTAGCGGATACGTTGGTAGATGACGGCACCATACGCTAACTCTGATGCGTCGCCAAATACGTGAAGCTCGACATCTTGCGGTGTAGCGCCTGCAATGGCCTGCAAGCAGCGTGGCACTTGAATTGAGCTCAGTGCAAGGAGATCCTGGAACCACTGTCTACAACGTGAGCTCAGTTCGACGGGAAGCACTTCGTCCCAAGTTGCACCGCTAGCCCAGATCTCTTGCATCAGTATCTTGGCACGGATGATCACTGGTGCCAGAAATCCTAGCGGGTCGAAGATTGTCGCGATCTTTCGGAGGATGTTCCTCTTCGTCATCATCATATCGTCAGGTGGTATGACAGCCTGAAAGCTGAACATGTCGCTGTCGCTCAACCAACTGATCCCTAGAGTCTTAATCTGGGATGGGCCGTCTCCGTTCAGGCTGAGTTGCGTTGCCTGATCTTCTCTGGGTATGTGACCCAACAGCTCCGGAGCATTCGACAGCCACTTCCTCACTGCCATGCCTGCTCCCTTCCATGCTGCTGTCACACTCTTGTACAGGGCCACACCCTCGGCAATCGTAGAGACTGAGTCCATACCGTCGTCCATGTAAGTTGATTCGAGCATCATCTCGGCTGCACGGGCGAATTCTGGATCTAGTGTCTTAGCGTGCTCTCGCGCGACCAGTTGCGCTAAGAACGGGGAGCAGTTCAGACCGAATACCACCCGGTTGAATTCGTACACGTCTGGAGCCGACTGCGAGTCTGTATTCCACAGGAATCTCAGATATGGCCGATCTGATTTTCTGACTTCAACCTGTAGATACATCTCCGTAACATCACAGCCAATGCAGATCGGATGCCGCCGAAACCTGAGCAGAACAGCCGATAGATCACGTTGTAACTTCGGACCGGTGTGCAGCAGGTCGTTGAGGGCGGTGCCATCATGCTTAGCTGACCCGTCGAACACAATGCGAACTTTCGTCGTACTTTTGTCCAGTCGGACAACCGGGAAGTGTGGAAGGAGCCACGATCCTGCTTCACGTGGGTTTGCATTCACCTTCACCACGTACCCTTTTCTCACGTAACTCTCAATGGTCTCTGCATAGCGCTCTGCAATTTCTGGGACCCGTTTCAGCCTCTTCTGTGTTTGCGCAAGTCTCTTCGCTGCCATGTCGTAATTGTTGGTGGGCCGTGATGCATCTGCCCGCCATGGCATCCCGACACAGTAGCGACCATTGGTGAACGTCATTCGTTTCTTTGTCGCTGTCAGGACGTCCAGGTTTTCCGGTGACATGGGGTGTTCTGGGCTGGTCACTTGCTCAATTTCCCAGAACTGTCGCAAAGACTTATCCACACTCAGGAGGGTCTCGCTGCTGGCGATGATAGCGCTGCAGCAGTGGTTTGTGCCCCCGCCACGGCTAACCCCTGCTCCGACGCAGGTCCATCCGAGAGGTGTGAGACGCGCGATGGGCTCTCCGGCTGGTCCAGACACTTCATACAACGCACGATGAAGCTCTGCATTGTCGACGCCAATGAGCAGCTCGATCCTTTCAGGGGTGGCCGGTTCCGGAAACGGTATATCAGCCAAGTGCTCATAGCCAATCTTCTTGCTACTCCAGTCCGTTAGCTGCAGACGTCCTGTTACCTGGTTGGGAGTTGTGAGTCCGACTACGGTTGTCCGTGATTGACCGTTAATATTGGCGATATCGAACTCCACTTCCATGGATTTGAAAGTGCTCCGCTTTCCATTCAGCATATTGATAGTCATGTCATGCTGCTCACCACTCATTCCTAGCGCTGTGGCAACGTCTTCATGGATGAAGGTGTTGGTACTTCCGTCGTCCAGAAGCGCATTGACGACGAGCCGCTTACTACCGGACCTGAGAACGACAGGCACAGTGCGTAAACTGGTGTAGCTCGTCTCGGCTGTTGCATTGCTGCATTGCTGGGGGGACTCCCCTTCCGTTGGAGTCTCATGCGCTGTTGCGACGCCACAGTGTCCTTGTTCAGCCTTGGTGTTTGCTTTGTCACAACTCCTTTCCTTGCCATCGGCTCTCGGCTTCTTCCTGATCTCAAAATCTGATCGTGCCAAGCCGTGTAGTAGACGATGATGATTCCGTTGGCAACCATCGACACCACAAGTGCGAGTTCGAGGACACTTGTCGCCTCTGTGCCCTGTTCCCAGGCAGCGATAGCACAGGCTTAATTCCTTTGCTCTTGTCCACCGTTGGCCTGTGTCGTGTCCTTTGAAGGTGGAGCATTCCCAA